AACCGCAGCAGTTCGCGAAGGCCTCTATCTGCAGGAACTCCTGCGAGAGGCGAAAATTCCGACTTCGCCGAGCTTCCGCCTTCACTGCGACAACCAGAGCGCGATTCGTATCGCGAACAAACCTGGTTTCGTCAACCGCACCAAGCACATTGCGCTGCGGTACTTCTTTGTGAAGGACGAGGTGGACAAGGGCAAGGTCAACTTGACCTACTGCCCGACGGGTGACATGGCAGCGGACTTCCTCACGAAGCGACTGCCACGCCAGCAGTATCAGCACTGCTCCGAACTCAGCGGCGTGGTCAAGCAGGTCAAGTCGAGCTACGGTCAGGAGTGAAGGGGGGTGTTACGAATAGTAATATTTGATATTACTGTGCACTCCTCACCGCAGCAAAGAGAAGCACGCAGTAACGAGAATGAACGCGAACCGTCAGACGGTTGGAATTGACTCGAAGCGACGGACAGTTGGAACACATCTGGACCGTCGGAAGCAGACGGCATCGGGCAGCTGCAGGCAGGATGGTTTTGGCGGGAACAGTTACGAAACTGTACGCGCCGCACGGTTGGGAGTGAATTTGAATAAGGGAATGTACCCCTTAGAGTACATGGCTAGATAGGTCTGTTCGCATTCCCTTGTACTCTTATTTATATGACCTTGTTTGCATGTTTTTATCATCTCAAGCATTTACATTCACTCTGCTATTGAGATCAAGGGCCCACCAACTATTCTCACTGCGTGCGAACCTTCCTGGGTAGATCCCGGCCTACGATCAATCTCTGATCGCAGCAAGAGTGCGCGGAAGACTTTATAAAGAGAACATGATTACCGAATGATCAAGAATGATAAAGGAGCACGCATTTATAGGGTCGAAACCGTGTTAGGCGAGGACCTCGCGACGTGGATGGTTCGGAAATGTCGCAATTGGTGATGGGAGGCTCGGCGCTGGTTCGGTACGAAAATGTAGGCCGAGCCTTCCAGACGCGAAGTGCTCGGGCTGTCCTCGCTAGGAGCAGCCTCTACAGTAATGAATGTATATTCATTACACTCTCCCACCTTCTAAATAAGGTGCACTTATACGAAGACAAGTCGTGCAGTAGCGTGAAAACTGCAGATCTCGGTCGAAGTCGATCTGACGGTGTAGAAAACCCGTTGACTTTCGAGCTGACGCGTGGCTGAACGCGTTGACCAGGCGAATTTTATTGAGGTTGGGATGTCAGCCATCGGATTTCCCAGATGCTGATCTGGCGGTTGCGATCAAACTGTCTAGTTGAAGTCGCGAAGGAACGTGAGTCGTCGATGAAGCGAAGTCAATTTGGACGGTAATGATGCTTGCGATGTTGGTGGGAAGTCTGACACGTTGTCAGAAGCCGATGAATCAGGGGCCGTTGGTGTCGATGAAGCTGTCAGAGCCTGACGAGGCTGTCAGAACTGCCAAGTACAGTGTGAAAATAATGCTTTCTCCTCCCCCCTTGAACGAGAAGGGTAGACCCCCAGTGTAGGACAGCTGCGCGGGCAGAAAACGCTAACCACCCAGCCGCCGAGTGTAGACAAAACACCAAGTATTATGAACCTTGTCGAGATGTTAGCAGTTGTGCTGTCGAAATGTAGTCGGTGGCGAAAATCTCCACTGTCGAAGAACTCAGAAATTGCCATGGGTAATCGTTGTCGAAGTCCGGATGTATCCGAATGTCTTGACTGCTGCAGCATCCCCGGCTGGCAGCATCTGCTATCCAAAATCTCTGCTGCTGTCTTGTTGTCGCGACTGCTGCTGCAACATTTCCAGCGACTGCCACCCCAAAATCCCCGCGTGGCAGCCTCGAATCAACCTGCTGCTGCAGTATTTCCAGCTGGCAGCAGTTGCTGCCCAGTTCTGTTTCTATTATGTCACTTGCTGAAAACGAACCTTTCCCAAACTTCAGCTGTCGTGACTCCGGATCGTGTAGTTCGTCGTCGAAGCCGTCGTTGAAGTCGTTGAAGCACATCAGCGACTGCCGGCGAGAAAGGCGGATCACGTAACAGACCGAGTGTTGTCGTGAAATCTTCATCGAAAGTCAATCAAAATACGAACTAAGGTACCTGTGACGTCAGCACCTCCGGCGCTCTTGTCGTGGCTCGCCGAAGGTTTTTGTCGTGGCTCTCCGAAAACTCCCGGGCAGAGGCGAAAATACAGCTGCTGCTCGTCCCCCTGACCCCCCAAACTTTCTAGGTACAGTTGAACTTGACTGTCGATGACGTCAGCTACCTTGGCGACGTTGTCGTGACTCGCCGAGAACTCCTGGGCAGAGGCGAAAAAGATGTCCTTCCTCCACCCACCTGTTGCGAGAAAATTCACCAGTGGTGCGGCTGGTACCCCCGAGCAGCTTCCGATTGTACGGCTACACATTTGACGGTGAGTGCCTTCGCGCGCTTAATCAAGCAACGCTGTAGTCGGCCGTCGGCACGGATACTGTCAGCGACCCCGCTGACTCCGTTAAGACTCTTCTTGGAACTGCTCGTTGCACCCGAAAATGTCGGAATCGAAGACACACCCCGTATTTCTTGGTTGCCTGCAGGTTGCCCTCCGAAAGAACCGGTGTTTCTAGCACGCCCACCCGGTCACCATTTTTTTTGTGCGGTTAACCACCCAAGCGACCCCCCAAGAGGAGGTGCTTTTTCGGCGTGGAACCCAGTACTTATGGGTCTTCCGAGACCGATTTTCACGGACCCTAGCGCGCATCAACGCCGCAGATCTCGCAGCAGAACTTCCTCAGACCGCTTCGTAGTACACCGCAAAGTCGTTTTATGAGTAGACGTTCACCCGTCTCCCACCTGCTATTTTTTGTGTTTCACCCCCCGACAATATCGGCAAGCCACCGTTCACCCAGCAGCCGCGTTTGTCGGATGAGGTATAACTCCGTGTTGCCCGCGATTTTTTTGGCGTTCGGTGAAGGCGCGGACGCTATGTAGCCGGGGTGAGTTAATCGTATCAAACGCCCGCCCGGCCGCTCGCTGCCCACCGTGCCTATCGCTTAAAATTACCACAGCTTCGGGAACTCCATCTTCGCCGCTACACCGCCGTCGGGTAGGCCGTTGAATCAGGAGAAACTCCGACAGCTGCCACGATTTTTTCAACCCCGAATTTTTCGGCGGGTACTGTTGCCGATGGTCTTGTTTTGTCGGGGCCGAAACAGTGCCGCATCTTGAATGTTTTTCTTGAACGCCCTTCCGTCGAACCAGCACATACCCGTGCCTTTCTAACCAGCACAGGGCTAAACACAGGGCCCCACCTTTTCGTCCAGGGCCAACAGGAATTAGAACGCCTTCGAGGCAAACCTGGTGTGGGGTATGTGAAACGTTGGTAGACTTGGCCGGTAGGGAGCTCTCTTCCACCGCCGCTTAGCCGTGAAACTCGGCCTCAGCAAAAAGTCGTCGCAGTAGGTCGTTTTCTCGCCTCCTGAAGTCGGAACCCGTTTCTCTCGCCAGACCCGTATTAGTCGCAACTCCGTGTATTGTAGCCGGTAGAACCCCCGAAAATCGCGGGTCTAAACGCTGTGCCGAATCGTTGTTCCGTGGTGTACTGGGCTGTCTGCAAACACAGGTACCTCTGGCCGGAGGGAAACTGTGCCGCGTGAAGTGCAAAATCGGCTGCCACTGTTGCTCCGAAATTTTCGCCGATTATCATTGTGCCAGAAACAGTAGTCACCCGAGCCGGAACAGTCTGGTCGTAGGCGGCCTTTTCCGAACTTTTCGGTGGTTTGAAGAACGTCTTCCGTCCCACACTGTGCAGCTCTGCCGAAAAACGCCCACGACGCACCCTCCTGCAGAACGCCGCTGCACCCGGGTGGGACGACGGAAAACCCCCGCTTTCTTCGGGCAGTCGTCACGCCGCCTCTCCTCGCCGTCGGATTTTCTGACGCAAATCACACATTGCGCCTGGCTGCTCAACTCGCAGTCGTTTTCCACGTGCTGCTACCCGAAATCTTCGCGCACAGTGACGATGCGCCACTTGTCGAAGATCTCCAGCGGACTCATGCACAACGTGACGCAGATGCTTCGGCGCCACTTGCTGCATGCAGCCCACTCCAAAGATTTCGTGCGCAGTTGCCGACCACGTGCCGACGCAACTCGCCCTACGGGCGTTTCCGACAATCTCGGACGTGCAGTGAAGGTGATCCCGTCGACGTCAGCGGCCACACTGCATCAACTCCGAAATTGACGAAAAAACGAACACTGCTAACTTACGCCATAAATGCGACGACAGCAAAAGCTGTCCGCCACCCGGGGGGAGGGAGGCCACGGTCCATCTCGACCGTCGAGGGCAAGGATCCGTCGGTGCAGCAGGAGCGCCCGTAAAAACATGGCCGCTAGGAGCAACTATCCGTTCTCCTGGCCGGCTCCTGCGCTGCTCCTGTCACTACGACATCCTTCCCTATCCCCCCCCCGAGGGGTAATACACTCTAAAAAACGGGGAAGCTAGGAAAGTAGCTCTGATACCAAGTGTTATGAGTTTTACTAGACAGAGTGCGCGGAAGACTTTATAAAGAGAACGTGATTACCGAATGATCAAGAATGATAAAGGAGCACGCATTTATAGGGTCGAAACCGTGCTAGGCGAGGACCTCGCGACGTGGATGGTTCGGAAATGTCGCGATTGGTGATGGGCGACTCGGCGCTGGTTCGGTACAAAAATGTAGGCCGAGCCTTCCAGACGCGAAGTGCTCGGGCTGTCCTCGCTAGGAGCAGCCTCTACAGTAATGAATGTATATTCATTACAGCGACCTTACAGTTGACCGTTTTCTCCCTAACCGGTTTGAGCTTCGGTTGTGGGTTGTAGTTTCAGGTACAAGATGCAGCTGGTGACGTCAAATCCCGACCATTGACAACGAATCTTCCAGCTGCTGCTTCTATCTCCGCAGCTGCCGGTTACCTGAGTTCGCTTGTATTCGCCCGCTACCACAAACTTCGAAGGCGGGGTGCACTCGTCAAAAGGCCCTACATCTATAAATCTCCACCGTCCAAACTCATGGCCCCTGATAACACTGTCCTCGCCGCCGATCAACGGCCGCCGATCGATCTCCTCTCGGACGACATTCTCTGCTCAATCCTTCGCGAAATTGCATCGGACGGCTCGAGTTTTTCGTACGCTTTGGTCTGTCGCCGATGGTTCCGCCTCGCGCTCTGCGTGCAGTCCGCCATACGCCTTCCCCGCGATCGCTGCCTCTCCGCGCGCGCGCTTCTTTCCGCCTCCGCGCGCTTCCCCCAACTAACAGCCATCTCCGCGCCTGACGGCGCTCTCGGGTTCATCCCCCGCCGTTTCTTCACGGATCTTACGGCGCCTTGTCCGGAACTGACTAGCCTTCGCCTCGGCCAAAGGAAAGTTAAGATCGGTTTCCGAAGCAGCGAGGAACCAAGGCGGACACCGCCGTATGCTAATTCACGGCAGCGAGGCTATTTCCGTATGGAGTCGATTTCTGTTCCGTACGTTAAGGATGGATATTTACAGTCGCTGATCAGCTTATTGCCGAAGCTGAAGGTGTTACACTTGGAAGAATGTTTGAAAGACGTTATGTGGTTACCACAAGCGATGGCTAGCCATGGCTGTCTGGAGCAGCTGCTGCTGAAATGCTCCTCCCTGACCTCCCTCACACTCCCTCCGCCGTTCGATCCCCCTGACAATATCTCATTCCCTAATCCCCTCACGCCTCCTAGTTTCCTCGATTCCCCTTCTAGCACCCCCTCTCCGTCACGTGCCTCTGGAACCACCGCGGGCAAACTAACCGACCTCCACCGCTTGGCACTCCCCCTCTCTCTCCGCCATCTGCACCTACAATGCCCTTCGTTACAGTCACTCCCGGACTCCATCACCCTCCTCTCCTCCCTCACTCACCTCAGCCTCGTTTCCTGCTCCTCCCTCCGTCTCATCCCTCGCTCCATCAGCAATCTCTCCTCCCTCACCTCCCTCACTCTCGACAACATCACCCTCTTCCACTCCCTCCCTCACTCTCTCGGTTGCCTCTCCTCCCTTCTTTCCCTCCACCTATCCTCCCTCTCATCCTGCACCACATTACCACAATCCATTGGGGATCTCCACTCGTTACAAGAACTCTCCATTAGTAACTTAGTCGAGCTAAGGGAACTACCGCCGTCCCTCTTCGGCCTCCACTCCCTCCGCCGTCTCACTATCACGGATTGTAATGATCTTATTACGCTGCCCGAGAATTTCGGTCAGCTCGAAAGTCTCGAGGAGCTAACCATACAGCAATGCCATTTTTTGGAGCGTCTACCTGCTTCTTTCTCCTCCCTCTCCTCCCTCACCCAACTGACCATCAACGACTGCACCTCTCTCACTCGTCTCCCATTTGCGCTTGGCCTCCTCTCCTCTCTCAAATCCCTCGAACTATCTGACCTCGTCGTCCTCTCCTTTCTCCCCTCCTCACTCTCTCGCTTGAGCCACCTCACCCTCCTGTCGCTTGACAGCTGCGACTCCCTCTCCTGGTTCCCGCCCTCTCTCTTCCACCAGCCGTCCTTGGAGTATCTAACAATAACCAACATTAAGCAACCTGTTCTCTACTCCCTCCCTCCTGACTTTGGCCACCATTTACCCCGTTTGAAAAGCCTCCGTTTAAAGGAGTACAATATTATTATGGAGAATCAGCCGCATCTCAAGGCATTACCTCCCTCGCTCCCCCAGCTGGCATCCCTTGAGCTTCTCTCCCTCGCCTCCTTCGCCCACCTCTCTGCCCTGCCAGAAGACATCTCCCGCCTCTCTTCCCTCCACACTCTAGAAATCAAGGGCTGCTCCTCACTCACGCATCTCCCACCATCACTCCCCTCCCTTCCCTCCCTTACTCTCCTCCACATTGATGGTTGCCCTTTCCTCTCCTCGCTCCCCCCCTCCCTCAGTTCCCTCTCCTCCTTGCAAGAGCTTAAGATCAATTGCAAGAGGCTTCTGTCTCTCCCTCACTCACTCCCCCTCCTTCCCTCCCTTCGCGTTCTCCATCTCACCTCATGCCTCTCACTCTCCTCCCTTCCTCCGAACTTCTCCCGCTTAACCTCCCTCCACACACTCTCTCTCTCAGACTGTCCCACGCTGCACCACCTGCCGACCTCTCTCCCACTCCTCCCGTCTCTCCATACCCTCTCTCTCTCCGGCACCAGTGTCATAGAGCTGCCCTTAAATTGTGAATCTCTGCTTGATGTCAGTCACTCTGACCGTGAGAAGGGACCGGTGGGAGGGGTAGAAGGAGAAGAAACAGCAGCAGCAGCGGCAGCGGCAGCGGCAGCGGCAGCGGCAGCGGCAGCAGTGGCAGCAGCAGCAGCAACAGCAGATGAGAGGGAGCTGGGGGCTATCACAAGTAGGGATGCCACGAGTGGCGATGCCACGAGCAGGGAGGGTGTCAAAATTGGTCTGCCTGGAGCTTTCACTATGGCACCCATCCCCACGACACCTCTCCCCACGACACCCATCCCCACGACACCTCTCCCCATGACACCCATCTCCACTTCACCCAGCAGTGGGGTGCTGCTGCAATCGCTGCAACACATGGTTCTTTCCAACAATTCCCACCTCTCCCAGTTGCCTCCCTCTCTCACCCTCCTCCTACACCTCTCCCATCTCACTCTGCAATCCCTCCCCCTCCTCTCGTCCCTCCCCTCACGCATACACCACCTGCCCTCCCTCCAGGAACTCACGATTCATGGCTGCCCTGCCATCTCCTCCCTCCCCCCAACGATCCTCCTCCTCCCGTCCCTCACACACCTTGAACTAAACGAGCTTGATTCTCTCACCTCCATCCCCTCTCCCCCTGTCCCTGCATCCTCTGCCCTGTCTCCCACATCCTCTCGCCCTTCCCAGTCCCCTCTTCCACCCTCTCGCCCCTCCGCGTCCTCCTCGCCCCCACCTCGCAGCGCTCATTCTTCCCGCTCCACGGGCTCTCGCTTCCCAATCCGCTCCATTGTTCTGCGCTCCCTGAGGCTGGTCTCGCTCCCCTCGTGCCTCCCGCTCCTGCCCCATCTCACGTCTCTCCACCTGTTCGATATGCAACAGCTGCGCTCAATCCCTTCTTCCTGCTACACCTCTGCTGGTGGTGGTGGTGGTGATGATGATATTGATGAAAATGATGCTGCTGCGTCTGATGATGATGTTGGTGCTGCTGCGGGCACAGAGCGAGGGGTGGGGGGTGATGGTGCGGATGAGGAGGAGAGTGACAGTTCTGAGAGTTGGGGAGAGAGTGGGGAGGACGAAGCAGGAGGAGAGGGAAGTGAGAGAAGCAGGGAAACTGCGGAGGCAGGAGGGTTAGAACTGGGAGGGAATGGCCGAAGTGGAGGGTACAGGGGGTGCATGGGGGAACGAGGACTGGCTGAAGTCTCACAGGAGAGGGGGGCACATGTGGGCAGGCAGAATGTGCGGGAAGCAGCACGAGGAAAGCAGCAATCGGGGTTGGGGGAACAGGGCTGTGATGGCGATGCTGCTGGGGTGGAAGCTAGTGAGGAATCGCGGCTTGAGAGTGTGTGGCGATATCTGTTGCAACATGGGCAGCTTACGGATTGGCCGAGCCTGCAGAAATTGAGTGTGAATGGCTGTTACAACCTGGCTCACCTGCCGCGCTCGTTACAGTATGCTCCGCAGCTGAGGGAAGCGCATGTGCTGAATTGTATTCGACTTAAAGGGGAATGTGGGACGTGGTAGGGTGTAGAGTTCATTGATTGGTGACATTCGGGTTTATGGTTTAGAGAGCTCCTGCTAAAGAACAGCTAGGCTCAGCTGTGTCAAGTTGTGAGAGAGAGAGAGAGAGAGAGCCTTTATGCCACTGCTTCGCTGCCAACTGTGCAGTGCAGGACATGGCTGGATTAATCAGAGGAAAACTCAACAGTGTGTCTTGACATGGTATTTTTAGCGATAAATGGTATGGCACTGAGTGGCCACATGATGTCGTGCATTGAATGATCTGCTCACCCCTCCCCCCCCCTCTTCCACCATCCAAAGCTCAACTTCCACTGCAGCACTTCCGTTCTTGTGAGGGTTTTCTGTGTCCCAAAGAATCCAAAGCACTTGGAAGGAGTGAGAGCAGGAGTAACCCTTCGCCAACCAGTTTCGAGCAGGTGGAGTTACGGTATTTCGCAAGCGTGTTCCGCCACCGAAATGATGAAACCACCCCCGCCGCGGAAATGACGTGCTGTCGCACGTCGGTGGGAAATACACTCAGGAACGTCGCACAAGGTAACCAAAGTTTCGATTTGTGCAAGCGAGTTTCGTCACCGATGAAACCCCCCACACCCCAAACACCAAAGCTCTCCGCGTGCGACTCGACGGAGGAACAGAACAGCCAATGGGCTGCTCGCATTCAGCGGTGCGCACCGCACTGGCGGCTTCGATCCCCAAATTCAAATCCATCCAACCCACCAGCACCGCACGGTTCGCTTTGAGCGAACTTGCTGTGAACGCCATCTAAATACAGCACCAGAATATCGTTTCGACATCAAACGTCAAATCATCCACCACTTGTACTACCAATTCAAATCTGAAGTTGCTCTTTCAAAAGTCCAACAGAGCCTACCTACCGTAATTCGACGACAAGCTCCATAAAAATCGCCTCTTTCAGCGGGATTCATCAACGAGTCTATTGCATAGCCAACCCAGGGTCGTCTACAATGGCACGCAGCGCTTTTGCCGCCCTATTGATGACATTGTTCGTCACAGGTGAGCCTCGTGTTGCAAGCCTATATTTTTCACGTTGGAAATTTGATACATGCCCTTTACGCAGAAAAATTGTGTATACCGCTGACATCTAACCCATTTGTGCTTTGTTCATGAATGTGCAGCCCTCATGCTACGAGCAACCGACGCCGTGAGGATCGTTCCCGGCGCACTCCCCACCAACCGCCTTCCAGCCGCCATCAAGCCCTCCGAAGTAGTCTCTGCCCTTAGACAAAACATATCCACGTCTGTCAATTCCATACTCTTCGACCTCCAGTCGTCCTTAAACGACCAAATCGCTTCTCTAGATGCGGCATTGAGGGGAAGGCTTGAGAAGCTCGCAGCGAGCCTCAAGGACGGTGCGTCAGCTGCAAACGCCGCTCTTCAATCACAGATATCCGCGCTAAGATCCAGCCTCGCTGCTCTTAAAGAGAGCCTTGCAAACGTAAATACTGCCCTAAAGGCGAATGTGTCTACAGCCGCAGCGGCAGCGGCAGCCCTGGATTCTCAAGTCGCAGCGATCAAGGCCAACATTCCCTCCATCAAATCGAGCGTCGACGCTCTGAACAAGGACCTGACTATTCTTACGGGACTTTCAACCGGAATCTCCTCAATTCGCGCGGCTGGAAGGCGAGGTTCGCTGCAGCAACGGCTGTCGCAGAGAATGGTGGTTGTGACGCAGAGAGTCGCAGGGATCAACGCGAACGTCTCGTCGCTCGCCGGGAAGGTGAACGCGCTCCTGCTGCAGGTCACCCTGAACGGGGTCGGAGCCCTCAACGGAACCCTAAACGACGTGGCGATCGCATTGAACGAAACGGTTACCGGAGCCCTCAGCAGCCTTCTAGAAAGTAGCGGCCTCAACGGAGTGATGAACGGCGCTCTCAGCGGGTTGTTTGATGGCAGCAGCAGCCTGTCGGATTTTGTGCCTCAGCAGGCTGGTATGCTGCGCGGGGTGCTTCTGTCGTGCAACGGACAGTTCTCTATTCAGGCCGGCGCTGCCAACATCGAAATCCTCAAGATGTAAGACCCCGTCGTATCAATCGCCAACTGGTTTATCTTGAGCCGCCATCGCAACTGACACTGGAAGTTCCTTCTTTTTTCTTCTTTCTTGTATGACCACACTCAGCTGCTGATTTAGCTGCAATCCGCTGCTTTTCTCATATCTCTCTTACCCCACTTCCCCTACTTTACTATTTCCGTTTTCCCTATGCAGTGGCTCAGACTACCTAGTCGCCTACTACCTATACGCGTCAGGCATCGCCCAAGCCCCTAACGAGCAGGTCGTCTTCAAGGGAAATGCGTGCAGCAGCAGTGATTCCACTGCCATCTTCAACCTCCCTGGCACGTGGCAGCTCATGAGCGCTGCTTCCTGGTCCCTGGCCAATGCTGTGAGGGTGCCTGCTGCTGACGTGGAGTACCTGGTGGGATCTCTCCAGGCTGCTACAAATAGCAATCTTTATCTAGGATTTTCTGGTGCTAGTGGAGTGATTTCAGGCAGGATGATTGGTGGGAAGTTTTGACACCAGGGGTTATGTGAGGGGGAGTGGTAGGAACATCATAGATGCTCTGCATAGGACAATGATGTTTAGGAAAGATGAGGCATCTGTCATGTTCCAGCCACTAACATGATTTTGGGAATTGTATTGTGTTCTTCTCAAATCCTCACAACCAGTCCTCTCTACACCTTTCAAAACCAAACTTGCAATTTACATACCGTACATGCAAAAACAAGCTGGGACAATTTTATGAGCTTATGTGCAAGGAAGTTGGGTTGGTGAAACAAGAATGCTGTCACTAACAAGAAATCTCAAATACATTCTACATGAACACAATAGCAAGGAATTATCTCAGAAGACGACTCCATACAATGTACTACTAGTGAACCTTCCCTGCACAGGGGATGGGCCCAAGCACCCCTCGAAAGACGCGGTTAAAGCCAGGGTCTCAAGTAAGCAAAGCAGCCATCAACTGCAAAGCACTCGTAGGCAGGCGAAGGTAGGTTACCTCGTTAGTGCAGGCGAATTTCTCTTTGGTTGGGTTGGAAACCTATTCCCGTCAGTGTCTCAAAAGCAATTGCACAACAAGTTTTGAGTACGTGAGACTTTCGACGAGTTTGGGGCATTTTAGGTTTGGATCCGAACCGATTCTCCAAACCTAGGAGGTTCGGCTACACCTAGCGATTTGGATTCGTTTCGTACCCCTCGCTTCACCCCTCTTCAAACTTCACAACTCGTTAGCCAATCACAAACAAACTTGCACTGTCAACTGCAAAGCACTCGTAGTATGTGAGACCCTGGCTTTATAGGAAATCCAGGGATATCTACCAATGAACATGGACGGATGGATGAAATGTCCTCTCGCAGTACAGTAGTAACTCTCTTCCGCCGGTGCCTCCCCTTCCCCCTCTCCCTTTCCCCCGCCACCCGCTCAGTGCTCACCAGACACGCCACCTCCACGTTGAGTCACTCACCACCCTGTTCGATAGCAAAAATGCAAAAATGCTCCCACCATAGTTCTCGCACAATGGTGGGAGCATAGCGACAAACCACAAGTGGTGTGTCAGCGCCGGCAGAGTCATCATTACATGAAACGCCTTACCGGCTTCGTTCACTTTGTGCAACGGCCGAGTTGGGGGAAAGCCTCCACCTCAACGGCCGATTGGTGTGGAAACATGTTTTTTTTTTTTGCTGATCCGGACCCTGTCACATCCACGGTCAGCGTCTGAGAAAGTACCGCACCCAAAATGTTTGTGACGAAAAACAAATAGAGTATTGCAGATCGGTTCCAAATCAAGTGAGTGGTGTCCAAAGGTTTTGGCATAACACAAGTTTGTATCTTTTTTTGTATAGACTAGCTCTAAATAGCCCCTCGTCTGGCATTGGTGTCCACTTCTCCTGAAAGTAGAAATGGCATTGGTGTCCCAATGGTGGGGCGTTTTGCCCGAGAAGAGCTGTGATGTCGCTGTAATGATTACTTCGGCAGTCTTTTTTGGGGTGCGCTTTGTGGTGTCGAACACTGTTACACTTCCCGCCGTGTTTTGGCAAGAGGGCGGGAAACCCAAGTAATCGCAGGGATTTCGTTCGCGCGGGCGGGAAATTAACCTTGTCGTGCGGAGGTCGCAACAGTCGCATGGAGTCGTAGACCATTTCCCGCCCATTTTCTCCCACCGTGGGAGAAATTTTACAGATGGGGTCACCCTCCTATCGAACAGGGCCGCTGACTCGTCAATTTCCGCCTTGGCTTTGATGTTTTGCCCCCGCGCATGTGAAAAATTCCAACAGGAATTTTCACATAGTGCTCTTTCGTCAGACTGCGGGGTCGCACTATTAGCCGAGTCATCTGTTGCTCGCGTGATGGATAATCGGCCGTTGGACTCTTCTGCGCAAGGTGAAGCATGTGCGCGCGCGGAGCCCGCGCATGAAAGCGCAGGTGTCGCCCAGGGTGCGCGGAAGGCCTCCGCGACCGCGGCAGCGGTGGGCGGGGATGGCGGAGGGTGCAGCGGAACGACTATGGATTGCCTCGACGACGCGTGTCTGCTGCTCGTCTTCTCCTTCCTAGCACCGCTCCCAGGTGATCATAACGAGCGGTGCGTCAGAACACTGAGCGCTCGAAAAGATCAATCTTTTTTTTGTTGTTGTTATTATTTTAAGCCGTGCATGCGGAGGCGTCATCGAGGCGCGGTCAGAGTCTTCCTCCGTGTTTGTGGCGCGGCGCGGCTCCGTATGCTTCATAATCCCTCCCTCCTCCCTCTCTGACCCTCCCTGTCGTACCGTTCATCTCGTACCCGTTATTGGCAGATCGGTTCCACGCGGGCCGCGTTTGTCGCAGATGGCAGCATCTAGCCGCCGATCGCCGCATGTGGATCCACGTGGACCCGCTCCGCTTTTCCCGCCGATTCTCCGCGCCACGTCACCACCTCCGCCGCTCGCTTGACTCCGCCCTGTCCCCGCTTCCGCTCCGCGCAAGCCTCCCTTCCGCCTTCCCCGCGCTTCCGTCCCCGCGCGCGGTGCCCCCCGCCCACGCGCAACCCCTCCCGCCGCCTCTCCGTGGAGAGGCGGACGACGAGGTGGACGACATGCTGCCACGTGTCTTCCCGTCGTTGGCGCTTGCGGTCAGAGCTGCTCGGTGCGTAACCAAGTGCCATTAGGTCATTAGATTCCTGATTTACGAGGATCCTGGTTTTCTACCAGCAATCTGTGCTGTTCTTTTTGAGAGAGCGGTCCATGACATGTCATTTACATTGGGCAGAGCGGTCTCCCACCTGGCTTCCCCTCTGTTTCCCTCCCCGACTCCCGCCCTTTCTGCCTCTCCGTCTCTCCATCCAACCCTCATCCCCCTGCCCGTCCCCCCATCCCCTTCTCCCACCCCCCCTTTCCCGCGCGCCAGTCCGGGCGACACGATTCTGCTGGCAGCAGGTGCCGTGCATGCGGTGGAGAGTGTGGTCGTGGACAAGCCGCTGTGCCTGGTGCGTTGGTAGGGAGAGAGAGAGAGAGAGGGGACGGAGAACGGGAAAGATGTGGGGAGTTGTATGACTGAGTCCACGTGAATGTTCTCCCAGATCTAGCGCCCTGCATGCGGTGGAGAGCGTGGGTGTGGACAAGCCACTGTGCCTGGTGCGTTGGTAGTGGGGGGGGGGGGGGGAGGAAGGGGGGAAGGATGTGGACGGAGGCATGAGTGAGCTGTTGACGTGGTTGTCTCCTGGCTCTATCGCCGTGCATGCTGTAGAGAGCGCGGTTTGGGACAAGCCGCTCTGCCTGGTGTGTTGGTGGGTGGGGAGGGGGGGTGGGTGGAAGTGGAAGGGGAGAAGGGAAGGATGTGGAGGGATGGATTGGTGAGTCGAGAGGTGGTTTGGGGGAAAGGGGTGCGGGGCTCAAGGGGGGAATGTAAGATGGGGAATTGGAGGGTGGGACTGGGGTATGGCCGGCGGAAAAGGGAGAGAGGGAGATGGTTTTTAAAGGGGTAGGGTCGAAGGGAGGGGAGGGGAGATGACCATGCCATGTAATGTCTTGCCAATCAATTTATGGGCAATGTACGAGTCTCGGTCTCCTCTCTCTTCTCTCTCGTCTTCCCTCTCCCCTCCTTTTTCCCTCTCCCATCTTCTCCTTGCCCCCCACCCCCATCAGAGGGGAGCGGGTATGACATGTGCGGACACAGTTCTGGAGAGCCCCAAATGGGCCGAGAGGTGAGAACAGCTAGTAGGAGAGGTAGCTAGTGGAAGTGGTAAAATGCTTTACAGCGGGAAAATGTGTTTGCAACCTGAACGCACGCTCGTCGCTCCAAACCTGGGCCTCACCCTACCTCCCTTTCCTCTTCGGAGATGCATCATGGTTTTTGTGTAAAGCATGAGGGAACCATACGTTACTCAAAAACCATTATTTTTCTATCTCCTCCTGGTTCTCTCCCCCCCCCCCCCCCATTCTTTTCCGCCCCTTTCTTTTCCCGCCACTCGCAACTTTTCCTTCACCCCGGTTCTCCCTCCCATCCCATGTCAGTGCCCTAGACTTCTCAGCATCAGCGCTGGTAATCAACGTAACGGTGCGGTCGGGTTACGGGCACTGCCTGCTGCACCGGCAGGGGCGGCTGGTGGTGGAGCGGTGTGCCATCGAGTGCGCTGCACACCCTCTCGCCCACCTCTTCTTCCCCATCCTCTCCTCCGCGACTTGCCACCCCGGCTCCCACACCCACGTGCTTGCACATAAAGAGTTGCAACAGCAGCAGCAGTTTCACAAGGAAGGGGACAGGTTGGGTGAGGGAGGAGTGGAAGGAGGGATGGGTGTCGCAGGGGCTAATAGGAAGAGGCGGAGGGTTGGAGGGGAGTGCGATGGGGAGAATGGCGGGGTGTGCGGAGGGGAGAGGGTGGTATGGGATATGCAGAGCTGTGGGGCAGGGCGTGAAGGAGATTCTGGCCATGCTGGGTGTGCAACACCGGCAGCTGAGAGTAACAGCTCGTTAGTAGCGGCTCCATTATCAGCAGCAGCAGCCACAGAAGCAGCGGCAGAACCGTCGTCACAAGGCCTTCCTGTGATGGCAGCTTGTGGGGGAGTGAGGAGTAAGAGCGAAAAGGCGGCAGGGGTGAGGGTAGTGGAGACGAGTATTGTGGGAGGAGGCAGTGCGGTGCACACATGCGGAGGGATGGCTCTTAAAGAGGTATGAGTGTGGAGTTGATTCCGCAAGTTCCCTTTTTTTGAATACTTGCCCTGGATTTTGTGTATGATATCTTTGGCTTGGTATTCGTATTGAGGGAATGCCTCTTGCTCGAAATGGGGCGGATCTTTACTCTCTTTCCATTGTTTAACGGTTCCCCCTTTCATCCTTTCCTCCCTCCCAGGTTCGGGTGCTCTATGCCCGTGCATCCCTTGTCTTCTGGTTCTGTATTGCTGCAAGCTCCTCGTAATGAACTGACCTGACATGGGGGTTGTAAAATGCAATATGGAGATACCATACCACAGAGCCTAGGTTTAGCTTTAGATCCTGAATCCTTTCATGCCATAGTCCATGTCGTGCAGTAGGCCTGGACTTTAAGTTAGTAACAACTGTTCATGCTTTTTTCCTACATGTGACATTTGTAAAGATGTGCAATGTTCTGAATTCATGTATATACAAACATGTATCTGAGATACCCTTCTTGGTATTTTAATGAAGTTTCTGTTACAGTTCATGTTTCGCAAAAAACCTGCGAAGCATTGCAGCAGCACAGCGGGCCAGCCACCGTCGCTCCCCCTCTCCTCATTTCGCCTCGCCTCCATCCTGCCTTCTCACTTCGAACGATCACATCCCCTTGGTATTGCTTTGCCAGCCACTGTTTGAATTCCCCTCGATCTGATTGACCATCGGCCTTCGCACCCGGCTCCACACCCCTTTCCCGTCATTTCCGTTAGACGAGGAAAAGCGCTTTCCGCTCCCGTTTACAACAATCGGCGCGCCTCGTTTGGACTCTCGCACGGGTTGCTGCTGTCAGACGTTTCCCGTGTCGCCTCGCCTTTTTCTCTCTCCTCCCGCGTCGCGAGATCATGGTGAGGTTCTTAGCATCCCTAAATAATAAGAAAGCCGTAATTCTCTTGACCCGTTCCTAGCCTCGCGATTTCTCTCTGCGGCGAAACCCTAGCAGCCGGAACTCTCCGTCTCGCTGGTGCCCCGATTCCGCATGGAATCAACAAGTTTATCGAGATTTTGCCGTTATTGACGACCCTAGCACCAGCAATCCTGTCGGTTTCGTGCGACTTTCCCTGTCGCCGGTTTGACTTCTGTCGCACGTCGCTCGCTCTATCGGTTGAGTCGCACCCCAAACACCGGTCGCACAGTTAACCGCGGGAGAAGCGGCGTAGTGAGAGCTTGGGAGGCCGTAGCGGGAGCGGAGTGGGGAATGGGGTTGGTTGGTAGATGAGGGGGATGGGGAAGGGGAAGGGTAGGGTGGGGGGGTGGGATGGTGGGGGGGTGGGATGGTGGGGGGGTGGGGGGGAAAGGGAAGGGGGAGAACTAGGAGGAGGAAGGGGCACCAGAGGACACGTTGCTGGCTTGCCCCGTGGCGGCGTGCCGATGGACACGTGTCAGTGCACCTTGTGCCGTGTTCTATCCACGGCCGTTAGCTGGTAGCATCCGTTAGTCGGTTACGGCGGTTAGCTGGTAACCGGTGCGGGTGCATTCAGGCAGTGGCAATAGACATAACTGGATGCTTTGGGCAGTCAGTGTGCGCCCTGTCGTGCCGCGAAGTGTGCGGGACGGGTCCTCCCTTGTCGTCTGTCTGTGGCATTGACAGTGCGAGTTGGAGCGCGGATGGGGGGGAGGAGGTGGAGAGCAGAGATGGCAGAGGAGAGGAGGGAGGAGAGCCTTCCATCCTTTCTCTCCTCTTACAGCCATTCCTTGTCCATCCACCTTACTCACCTCTTCACCATCCCTTTCCTCTTCCCCTCTCGCTCATCCCTCTCCCCTCTCCTACTCTCCCCCATCCCTCTCCCCCCTTCTCCCGCTTCTCCCTCTTCTCTCTCTCGCTCTCCTCCCTCCGCCTGTCAGCTCGTCTTCTCGTTTGCAAGCCAAGAAGCCCACAGGCAGGGAGGTGACAGCGAAGCTGGAGAACAACCCTTCCAACTTACTCCCTCCCTCCTCCCCCTCCCTGCGCGCCTCTCCCCCGTCCGCCGCCCCTCCCTCTTCCGCTGCCCCTCCCCCCTTCCCCCTCAGCTGTTCTTCTCGCACTTCAAGAGGTGATCGGCAAGGACGTGACAGTGCAGCGGGAAACAATCTATCTGCTTATCCATCCCAACCCCCTGTCCATCAACCCTTTCCTCTCCTCCACAGCATCCCCCCACTCCCCTCTCCCGCCCCCCACCATCCCCTCTCCAGCTGTTCTGTTCCTCTCCCCCCTCCCCCACACAGCTGTTCTTCTCCTACTCCAGGGAGCTGATTAGCAAGGAGGTGACGGTGCAGCTGCGATAAGGAACCTCTTCACGTACCCATCCCATCCCATCCCATCCCATCCCATCCCATCCCGTCCCGTCCCGTCCCGTCCCGTCCCGTCCCGTCCCGTCCCGTCCCGTCCCGTCCCGTCCCGTCCCGTCCCGTCCCGTCCCGTCCCGTCCCGTCCCATCCCATCCCATCCCATCCCATCCCGTCTCCGTCAACCCGTTCCTCTCCTATACAATCCCTTCCCTTTCTCTCCCTCCCCTCCCCCCTCTTTTTCCAGCTGTTCTTGTCGTACTTCTAGCAGTTCAACTCATCGGCTAGGAGGTGACGGTGGAGTTGAGGAACAGCCTTTCCAGAAAATCCGGCCCCCGTCTTCTCCCCTCCGTCCTCTCCCTCCCTCCTTTTCACAAAACCTTCCCCCCCACCCCTTTCTCCCCTCAGCTGCTCTTCTTGTATTTCAAGGAGCTGATCGGCAAGGAGGTGACGGTGGAGCTGAAGAACAGTCTTTCCACCTCATCCTCCTTCCGTCTTTTTCATCCTTCACTCCACCCATCCCCGCTCCCCCTTCCCTCCTCTCCCCCCCCCAGCTGTTCTTCTCGTATTTCAAGGAGCTGATCGGCAAGGAGGTGACGGTGGAGCTGAAGAACGACCTGGCCATCAGCGGCACACTGCACTCCGTGGACCAGTACCTCAACATCAAGCTGCATAACTCACGGGTCGTCAATGACGCGAAATACCCCCACATGGTGAGTGCCAAAAAGGGCTCTTCTGAGCATGTCAAGAGCCTCACACTGCACTCCGTGGATCAGTACCTCAACATCAAGCTGCATAACTCACGGGTCGTCAATGACGCGAAATACCCCCACATGGTGAGTGCCAAAAAGGGCTCTTCTGAGCATGTCAAGAGCCTCACACTGCACTCCGTGGATCAGTACCTCAACATCAAGCTGCATAACTCACGGGTCGTCAATGACACGAAATACCCCCACATGGTGAGTGCCAAAAAGGGCTCTTCTGAGCATGTCAAGAGCCTCACACTGCACTCCGTGGATCAGTACCTCAACATCAAGCTGCACAACTCATGGGTCGTTAACGACGCCAAGTACCCGCACATGGTGAGTGCCGAAGGGGGTTCTGAGCATGTCAAGAGCGGCTCATTCCACTCCGCGGACCAGTACCTCAACATCAACTGCACAACTTGCGCGTGGTCAACGACGCCAAGTACCTGCACAGTACCCAGAGCTGCCAAGAGCCTCGTTCTGCACTCCTTGGACCTCGAGGTGCGCAACTCACGTGTGTGGCGAATGAAAGTGCGTTTCCCCTCATAGTGAGAGCTGTACAGGGAGGAGCCAAGTTGCCATGAGCCCTCTCATTCTCTCCCACCCTTCTTGCCGTGGCCCGAGTTTCTATCTGACATCAAGTGCACAACTCGTGGGCCGTCAATGGTGCCAAGTATATGCGCATGGTGAGTGCGTTTGTGAGCGTTGGGAGGTGCACAGGGTGATGCAGCTCAATGCAACATTGAGCTACACCGCACAGCACCGCACAGCACAGCACCGCAATGCACTGCACACCACAGCACACCACAGCACACCACAGCACCTCACCGGATCCACTCATGGCCCTCTCATGTCCATAGCCCACCATTACCTTGTTCCTCTAACTTTTCAACACGGCTTTCAGTGCCGAAGTGTTTCATGCGAGGCTTGGAGCATTATGCACCGGAAAGCCATCAGTCAGCTCCCCTCCCTCGCTCGTCCTCTTCACTCACCCTCCCTCTTTTTCTCCCCCTCTCTTTCCCCCTTCATTACCCACCACTCGCGTTATTTCCTGCCATTTCCCAATGCACCTTTTAGTCAGAATCTGTTTGATTCAAAGCTCAGTGGTGTGCGCTATGTGCTGCTATCACCAGATAACCAACCAACAGCCAACTCTTCTACTTTTCGCTCATCCACACTGCTCACTCTTTTTTCTTCACTTCGTTTCCATCTTACATCCACCATAGACTTCCGCATTGGTTCTATTCCACCTGATACGGCTTTCAGTGAAGAACTGATTCGTTGTGGGCTCAGTGATGCCACAAGAAGGCCATCAGACCTCTCCTCTCCGCTCGGCCTCTCTCTCTCGCTCTCCTGTCTCTCCTCACCTTCTCGATCAACCCCGCCATTCCCGTGATTTCTTTCCATTCCCCAACGCAGCTGCCAGTCAAGAATTATTTCATCCGGGGCTCAGGGTGCGCTATGTGCTGCTGCCACCAGATATCCGTCAGACAACTTCGCTCTCTCACTCGTCCCCTCTGCTCGTTCTGTGCTTTTCTACCATCTTCCAACGCAGCTGTCAGTGAAGAACTGTTTCATCCGAGGCTCAGTGGTGCGCTAAATGCTGCTGCCACCAGACATCCATCAAACAACTTCCCACCCTCACTCGCCCCCTCTGCTCCTACTGTGCTTCCTCACCATTCCCCAACGCAACGCAGCTGTCAGTGAAGAACTGTTTCATCCGAGGCTCAGTGGTGCGCTATGTGCTGCTGCCACCAGACGGCGTAGACGTGGACATTCTACACGACGCCACACGCAGGGAGGCACGTGGCGCAACATGATTGGTCCGTGCACTTCAGGGCTGGCAGAGTGCGCAGCCCAGGTTTGGTTTGGTTTAGTAAATTTGGGATGGGGGATAGGTTCTAGGATCTTGGTGGGAAGTTGCGAAGAGATGGTTCTGGGGGTGATGAACTGGGCTGCTGATGTGTTTGGGGATGCTCTTTGTGGGGGTTTGGTTGCCATGCGTTTTTTATGGCTTCCAAGTAGAATATCAACCCCTCCTCTTTTTAGTTACGGAGGGTGTGTTGTCAGTAAAAAGTGACGATTTTCATATGAGCCTGTCGGATGGTTTGGAGAGCTTTATAATGAAGGTAATTTGTGACATTTTACAAATGTGCCATGGGTACCGCTTATGGGCCGCATAAGTTCTGACGACATATGTGTAGTCCTGTAAACTTGGCCTTCGGGTGATCAGTTCCCTCTAAACGGTGGAAAACAAGTTCGTTCGTTTGACGAGTCGCACAATATCCACAGAATTTTGTGCACCACCCATCTGCCCGCACGAGCCTATCCATCCATCCGTCGAGCGTTGAATTTGATGAAAATTGGGGCTGTTCGCCAGCACCATTATAGCAAAAAACGACGGGATAACGACGAGGTGGGTCTCGCCTTCCTGATCCCGTCAGTTAGAGTTCGTTAACCTCCGTCAGCCTGGTCAGCCCGTGAAAAAAGTGCCGAGCCTCACCTACCGTCCAAACCAACAAACAAAGTGGGCGTCTGGCGAGTTCCCACTTTTGTCCACCAAATCTAACGCTTCGACGGCATATGGAAGCGGGGACGAAACTTCGTCCCCAGGCAAAACACCATCCCCTAGCCATGCCATCGCCATGCTGCGTTTTTCAAAGCACAGCGATGGCACAGCCGTCGCATTGCCGTTCAAAAGGGATCGAAGGGAAGGTGGGGATGGAGGTTCCCGATGCGGTTGAGAAATTTCTCAACCGCAGGCGCAGAAGTTTCCTGAACGGCATTACGGCCAAACCTCGGAGGTGGGTTCCACCTCCGTTTCCATATGCGGTCGCGATGCCGATGCCATCATTTTCATTTCAAAATACGATTTGCTGGCAAACAGCACCATTGTTGTGATTGTCCCCGTGCCTGAAACACCACCCAGCCCATTGCAACACGGCCACCAGAGTGGTGGAGCCATTCATTCTCAGCATAGCAGCAGTTCTGGTACCTCCTGCAGACCTTCAACTTCACAAAAGCTGGCATCAACGTGAACGAGTCAGCGACTACTACTATTCTATGGAGCCTCCAGCAGCTCACCACAGCGCGCGCAATACGCCCATCCACAAATTACCAGACGAGCTTCTCTGCAAAATCCTCTCGCGCGCTGCGACTTGCGCCGCTACAGAGCCCGGCAGCGCTGACGGCGCAAACGATGGCAGCGGCAACGGCGGCGGCAGCGGCAGCGGCGGCGGCAGCGAGCCCACTGTCAGCAATTTTAGTGACCTCGCAGTCACGTGCAAACGATGGCTAAGAAGCATGACTACCCTTCGCGTCAATCACGGCTACACGCCAACTTCAGGAGAAGAAGGCCAGCTTTGCGCGTCCGTGCTTTCTGTGCCTGCGCTCTTCCGCATCCTGTCCCTCGCTCCAAATGTCACTTCCGTTTCTCTCGCCAAACGCGCCCTCGATTTCTACGACGACGCATTCCTTACCTCCCTACTCTCCGCCTCCTCGCGACTCGTCCGACTGAGCCTGCACGAGCCGCGCTTTACGGCAGAACCTCATTTCACAATTGGTCGTAAGCCTCTGGAAGAGTTTTTTCGCTTGGCGGCGACGCGGTTACAGGAACTGTCTCTCTCGCACTGTCTCGGCCAAATGACGAAGCTTCCAAGTTCCGTCGCCTCCTTGTCCTCGCTGCGCGTGCTCCGGCTACACTCCAAGATTTTTCGCACGCTGCCCGACGGGATATGCCAGCTAACTGCGCTCCAGGAGCTCCAATTAAGCTGCCCGTTACTGTCGCAGCTGCCCGAAGCTTTTGGGAAGCTGAGATCGTTGGCGCAGCTCTCGTTCTCGGAGTGCTCGGAACTGCGGCTGTTGCCCGAGTCGTTCGGCGACCTTTCAGCGCTCACCTCCCTCCAGATCAACGGCTCCTGGCAAATGTATCGCTTCCCAACGCGTATGGGCGCGCTTCAGAATATGCGACGACTGGAGCTGCGAAAAATCGGCTGCCGATTAATAGACGCGTGCGCAGAATGGACGAATCTGGAGGAAATTAACCTGGAGTCGTGTGGCCGCATAGGCAGTTTCCCAGCCTCACTCATGGAGTCGCTAACGGCTCTCACTATCCGTGACTACTGGAACTTCAAACTTCCTCGATTCGATGACATCTTTGCGTCGAAGCTGCGCCACGTCACCATCGACTCGTTGAGATCGTGCGGGTCGCTCGAATCGCTCAGCCATCTGACATCGCTCGAGCGGCTCGACGTGATGCTGGTAAACGATGAGGAGCCGTTCCCCGTGGGATTGTTCGCTCTGCCGTCGCTGACTTTCGTGAAGCTGGGTTACGTCAAGTGGATGGAGGGACCCGACGTGGGGCACCTCTGGACACCCAACGATCCACGATCTCCCACCGCAATCTACACGAGGCCGAAGAAATTGCTGCTCCGAGACGGATGCGACATACCCGCCCCTGGGCCGTTCCCTGCGTCATCTCGATATTAGCTTAGGCGAGTCGGAAGACTCGGGGGAAAGGTTTATGTCCGCGGGGGTGTGCTCGCTCGAGTGGCTGAACCACCTCACCATCTCCGACCTCCATAGCTCCGCCCTCCTGCCAATCGACCTGGGCCAGTTGCGTAATCTGCGTTCGCTCTCGCTCTCCGGTCGCTTCTATTACTTTCCTCCCTCTCTCTCGATCCTCGCGTCATCCCTGCAATCGCTGACGCTGCACTTTACCTGCCAATTCTGCCACGTATACCGCAACTATAAGTTTCTCCCTTCGCTCCCGGCCTCCGTCGCTCAACTCACTTCGCTAACGTACCTTGACCTAACCAACTTCCAGTTTCACGATCCGACTCCTGACCTCGCAAGATTAGCCCTGCTTAGTACGCTACACGTGGACTGCGATTTTGTCGACGGGTTTCGAAACCGTTCCGACCTTCCAAAGGTTATCAGTTGCTTGAGGAAGGTAGAAACATTTGACCTAGGGGAAAGCATTTGGATGGCGGGACTCCCACCATCGTTCTGCGAGTTACGCTCCTTGAAGAAGCTTCATCTCAGTTGTACGCGCTTGAAGCAGCTGCCTGCAAAGTTCTCTCGGCTGACACGTTTAGAGGAGCTATAGCTTTTTTTTTGCCCTCACATGAAGCCTCTGCCGACCCGTTTCGCCTCACTTGGAGCGCTAAAGAAGCTGGCTATAGTGGGATCAAAAGGGCCTTCGTTTCTGAATTCACTTACCATTGGCCTGACGACTCTTGAAGAAGCGAACCTGACTTGCGGATCCAGTATCTCCTCTTTGCCGCCCACGCTTTGCCAGTTCTCCCGCCTCCACACGCTTACAATCATCAGATACGATGACCTCATATCCCTGCCTGCGAATTTCGGCGCATTGAAATCCCTCAAGAGCCTCTCCATTCGCGAGTGCGAAGCTTTCCGCAATCTGCCCGACTCCTTTTCCGCTTTAAGATCCCTCGTTCACCTCATTGTCACATAGTGTCCGAAATTTTCCACTCTCCCAAACCGCTTCGGTTCATTACCCCGATTGACTGAACTGGAGATTTCTCGGTGTGATTCTTTCTCACATCTGCCCGCCTCTTTCCCCTCTCTCCCTATGCTACGTGTCGCCTGCTTCAGCCACTGCAAGGCGCTGCACTCCCTCCCTGCCCACATGGGTCAGATGCTTCGTTTAGAAGTGCTCCAGTTACGTGAGTGTCTGGCGCTAAAAGCTCTACCAAAATCGCTTAGAGAAGCTAAGGCACTGAGGCATGTGGATGTGTATGGGTGTCGGTTGGACCTGATAAGGAGGGAGTTGGGGGTGTGCAGAACAAGAGTGCATGTGGCTGGGTAGAAGATTGGGTGGGTGGAGCAAGTGAGTTCTTCTAAGGCAAGGAGCTGAAAAGTGAGGGCGGCACGTTGAGAGCAGCACCAGCACCACCAGCATCAGCAAGGAGGAGGGGTGGCACCCGCGGTGGTTCAAGCAGATGGGGTCGCACAACACGTGGACGTACGTGGGGGGGTACTGGGAGCAGCGCTCTGCCAGGGACTGGTCCTCAGTCAAGGACATCTTTGCAAGCGAGGAGGCAAAGTGAGCTGTGTGAGCCTCCAATGCAGGAATTTGAAGGCGCCTCAGAAGCACGGTGCAAAGGAGAGGCCCTGTGTGAAGGATATCTTTGCGAGCGAGGAGGCAAAGTGAGCTGTGTGAGCCTCCGATGCAGGAGTTGGAAGGCGCCTCAAAACCACGGTGCAAAGGAGAGGCCCTGTGTGAAGGATATCTTTACGAGCGAGGAGGCAGAGAGAGCTGCGAGAGCTGCTTTTGAGTCGTCTCAGAAGCGCAGGAAGCACGTAAGGAGGAGTGGCATGAGTGAAGGGAGTGAGGGGAGTGCAGCAGTAAGTGGAAGGGTTGGTGCAACGGAGGCAGCAGGCATTGGGCTTGCAAGGCGGGCATAGGGGCACAGAGCGGGGGGGGGAAAGGGGTTCGGGAGGGTGAGTGGAGGGGAGATTGGGGGTGGTTGAAGTAACTGGAGGGAATAAGCAGGGTGAAGATCCCAGGGGCTGACTGGCAGTCGATTTTGTTTTGAGAATTTTCAATAGCAGCTTGGGAGAGAACCAAAATCCATCAAGGGGCTGGCTGTTGCTTGCTCTCCCTCTCCATCATTCTTTGTCTTGCAGACACTATCGTACGGTACCTGTACGAAGTTGCCACAGGTGCTGTCTGTACTGTGAGAGACGCGTATTTTTTTAATAAGCATGGCAGTAGTAGACATACGGTAGTTATGGCATGGGTGTTTCTATCTTACTGTATCAGTTTCATATTTCCGAATAACTTGTAGTCCACTTGTGGTACCATATCCGTCTCAGACTTATTTGAGCAATGTGTTTTACTGCGTGAAACACTACCTTGTTAGCCATCAAGTATCCTTTATCAAGAGAGTGTCACTTTATCGAATCATTTCAGAGGGTACAGTACATATACACAAAACTTTTTGTTTTCAAGCTCTGTATTGGATGGTTACACATCGGGGCTCCACGTCAAGCCATCCCTGAGACATCATCCATCGAGAAACACGAACTTGGCGCAAGGGCTGGTGTGTTTCGGGAGTCCATCGGGACGGGAAAGGGGTCTGCTCAGTTTGGTGGCGGTGTGGTGACCCCCTTTTGACGAGTCGCGGTAAATCAACAGAAGAGTTTTGTGCGCGTCTCATGAGTCACCACCACACTACGGCATGTGCGTCGTACTGCATGTACGAGGCTGTCTGTTGGTTGTTCATTGAGAGCCGATTATCTTTTTGAGAGAGCAAATTCCCACCCAGAGCCACATAGCCACAATAGAGGGACCATTAAAGCCAGGGTCTCAAGTACTACGAGTGTTTTGCAGTTGCTGTTGAAAGTTGGGCTGTGATTGGTTGGCGAGGTGAAAGGTTTGAAGTGGGGAGAAGCGAGGGGTGCGAAGCGAACGCAAATCGTTGGGTGTATCCGAACCTTCTAGGCTTGGAAATTTGGTTCGGAACCAAACCTAAAATGCCCCCAACTCATCGAAAGTCTCAAGTACCCAAAAGTGTTGTGCAATCGCTTCTGGGGCACTGACGGGTGTGTCGCACGCTGATTTTCCAAACCAACCAGAAAGAACTTCGTCTGCAATAACTAGGTAACCTAGCTTCAACTGCAAAGCAGTTGACAGCTCCTTAGCTTACTTGAGACCCTGGCTTTAATTGTTAGCTGTGGCCTCAGTTAGCGTAGCAGCAGCATATCGCCCCTTGGCATCAGTTTTAGAACCGCACGGAGAACTTCAACTTCACTCAACTGGCGATTACGTGAACGAGTATTCTTCTGTTCTATGGAGCCCCCAGCAGCTCATCGCAGCGCGCGCGACACGGCCATCCACAAGCTACCAGACGAGCTTCTTTGCAAAATCCTCTCGCTCGCTGCGATTCGCGCCGTTACAGAGCCCGGCAGCGTTGACGACACAAACGATGGCGGCAGCGGCAGCAGCAGCAGCGACGCCAGCGAGCCAACCGTCAGCACGTTAAGTGGCCTCGCTGTCTCATGTAAACAATGGCTAGGAAGAGCGACTACCCTTCGCGTCAATCGCGGCCACACGCCAACTTCAGGAAAAGAGAGCCAACCTTCCGCTCCCGTGCTTTCCGCGCCTGCGCTCTTCCGCATCCTATCCCTCGCTCCGAATGTCACTTCCATTTCTCTCGACAAGGGTGCCCTCGATTTCTACAACGACGCGTTCCTTACCTCCTTAGTTTCCGCCTCCTCGCGACTCGTCCGCCTGAGCCTGCACCAGCCGCGCTTTACGGCAGCACCTCATTTCAGAATTGGTCATAAGGCTCTGGAGGCGTTTTTCCGATTGGCGGCGCCACGGTTACAGGAGCTGACACTCTCACACTGCCTTTGCCGAATGAAGAACCTTCCAGGTTCCATCGCGTTCTTGTCCTCGCTGCGCGCACTTCGGCTATACTCCGGCTTTCTTCGCGTGCTGCCCGACGGAATATGCCAGTTATCCGCGCTCCAGGAGTTCTGCCTAAGCTGCCCATTACTGTTGCGGCTGCCTGAAGCTTTTGGGGAGCTGAAGTCCTTAACGCAGCTCTCGTTCTCGGAATGCAAGAAATTGCAGGCTTTGCCCGAGACGTTCGGCGACCTTTCGTCCCTCACCTCCCTCCGAATCAACGTCTCCTGGGAAATTCGTCGCTTCCCAGCCCGCATTGGCGCGCTGCAGAATATGCGACGGCTGGAGCTGCTGTTCTTCAGGGGGGAGTTACCACACGCGTGCGAAGAGTGGACGAAACTGGAGGAAGTTACGCTGGACTATTGTCGCAACGTTCACAGTTTCCCCGTCTCACGCATCAAGTCTCTAACGGCCCTCACCATCCGTCGCTGCTGGGATCTCAAACTCGATCATTTCAATCTCATGTTCGCGTCGAAGCTGCGCCACGTCGCCATCGACTCGCTGAAATCCAGCGGGTCGCTCGAGTTGTTAAGCCATCTGACATCTCTCGAGCGGCTCGACGTGGAACACGTGCGAGAAAACGAACCGTTTCCCGTGGGTTTGTTCTCGCTGCCGTCACTGGCTTTCGTGAAGCTGGGTGACGTCAAGTGGATGGAAGGAACCGACGTCATGCCGCTCTGGCAGTCGGCTTGTCCAAACTCTCAATCTCCCACCGCAATCTACAACGCTGCCCTAGAAATCGCTGCCGCTGAGTCGAATACGACATACCCGCCCCTCGGCCGTTCCCTCCGTCATCTCGACATTAGCGTAGGCGAGCTAGACGGCTCGGAGCGAAGGTTCATGTCCGCGGGGCTGTGCTCGTTTGAATGGCTGACCCACCTCACCATCTCCAACCTCCATAGCTCCGGCCTCCTGCCAATAGCTCTCGGCCAGCTGCGTAATCTGCGCTCGCTCTCGCTCTCCGGTCGCGTCCAGTTCTTCCCTCCCTCCCTTGCGCTCCTCGCGTCATCTCTGCAGTCGCTGACACTGTACTATGCCCGCAAATCCAGCTACGAACGCGACGATCAGCCTTGCCCTTTGCTCCCAGCCTCCGTCGCGCACCTCACGTCGCTAACGTACCTTGACCTAACCAACATACAGCTCCACGATCCGACTCCTGAACTCGCGAGATTAACCCTGCTTCGTACGCTACGCGTGAACTACGAGGATTCGTACAAGTTTCGAGCCCATGTCGACCTTTTGAAGAATATAGGTTGCTTGGGGAACCTGGAAGCAGTAGAACTGAAGAAATGCTTGTGGATGGTGAGTCTCCCGCGACCGTCGTTCTGCAAGTTACGCTCCCTGAAAAAGCTTCATCTCAGTTGTAAGGGCTTGATACAGCTGCCTGCGGTGTTCTTTAAGCTGACTCGTTTAGAGGAGCTGGAGCTTATAGATTGCTATCATATGAAGAGGCTGCCGACCCGTTTCGCCTCACTTGGAGCGCTAAAGAAGCTGACTATAGTGGGGACAAGAAGAGATTCGTTTCTGGATCCACTTATCGGCTTGTCCTCGCTTGAAGAATTAACCCTGTCTGGCGGATCCAGTATTTCCTCTTTGCTGCCCGCCTTTTGCCAGTTCTCCCGCCTCCACACGCTAACAATCATCAAATACGACGACCTAATCTCCCTGCCTGCGAATTTCGGCGCAATGGTATCCCTCAAGAGCCTCTCCATTCGCGAGTGCAAAGTTTTCCGCCATCTCCCGGACTCCCTCTCCACCCTGAGATCCCTCCTCCACCTCACAATCAAAGACTGTCCAAGATTTTCCTCTCTCCCAGACGGCTTCGGTTTGTTACCTGGACTGACCCAACTGGAAATCTCCCGGTGCGTTTCTTTTACGCGTCTGCCCGCCTCCTTCCCCTCTCTCCCTTTGCTCCGCGTGGCCTGCTTCAGCCACTGCAAGTGGCTGCACTCCCTCCCTCCCCACATGGGTCAGATGCTTCGTTTAGAGGAGCTGCAGCTACGTGAGTGTGTGGCGCTAAAAACTCTACCAGAGTCGCTTAAAGAAGCCAGGGCATTGAGGATTCTGGATGTGTGTGGGAGTGGGTTGGACTGGGAAAGGGGGGAGGTGAGGGTGTGCAGAAAAGGAGTGCATGTGGTTGGGTGGAAGATGAAGTAGGCGGAGCAGGGTGAGTTATTTGAATGCAAGGAGCTGAAAGGTGTGGGTGGGGACGGTCAACTGAAAAGGGAGCATCAAGGATGGGGCGGTTTCTTACATTTGACTCGCTTGCCTCTACCCTTGTTAAATTTGGTACACATCAGAACAGTTTGAGCTGGAAGTTTTTCTAATAATAGTTGAGCTTGACATCCTCAGAAATCAATCTGTTGCTGAACTCCAGTGGCAAATTAGACAGCAAAGGGGAGTTCATTACCTGAGGGGCATGCTTATTGCATCATGGCCTGAATAGAGGGGAAGATGTGCGGATGTGGTGGGGATGCAGGTGGTGGGGATGCAAGTGGTAAGCATGCCGACAGACTGGGAGGGCAGACCGGGGGCTGTTGAACCAGCAGGAGGGAATCAGCAGGAGGATGGAGCCGGCCAGATGATACTATAGGGGATGAATATAGATCTCTTTTGTTAGTTATAGTTTATCTATTCAGCTTTGTTTTTCTATTTTCCCAAGAGATGATGTTCCACTTACCGTATTTATCATACACTTACGACAGCACCCCAATAGCGCAGTGGTCCCACCTGTAAAGGATCCTGACCCACGTATGAGGTCCCCAGAACACAAACCAGGCCCAACGGTTGGGTCGACAAGGCGACCTGATCTGGAAATCCGAGTGACGAGCCGCGTGAGATGGACGGACTGACAACAACCAGCGCGGCAACGAGGAATTTGAATCGTGGGGCCGCTCGTTTCGTGGATGTGCGTTGCTGGATGTCCATCGCACCTACAACCTACTTCCCTAAGCAACATCACGGTTATTTGCGTGTTTGATTATCGTACTTTTAGTTACCTCCTGCTGAACTTCAAGTAAGCACAACTGACTTCGCTTCACGGATGGAGCATGTGCCTTCACCCGCGCGAAACCCGCACCTACCAGACGAGCTCCTTGACAAAATCCTCTCGCTCGCTACGACTGGCTCCGTCACTAAACTTGGCGGCGCTGACGACGCATTCGATGGCAGCACCAGCGGCTGCAGTAGCAACGGAAGCGGAAGCGGTAGCGGCAGCGCCAGCGCCAGCGAGACCGCCATCAGCCCGCCATTTAGTGACCTCGCAGTCACGTGTAAGCGATGGCTCCAAACAGCGACTGCCATTCGCGTCGGCCACGTGCCACCTGTAGAGAAGGTCACTACGGCGAAAAAGGAGCTTGCATTGGCGCTTTCCGCTCCCGCGCATTCCGCTCTCTCGCTATTCCGCAATCTTTCCCTCACTCCGAGCATCACTTCCGTTTCCCTCGCCGAACGCGCCCTCGATTTCTACGACGACGCGTTTCTTTCCTCCTTGATCTACAACTGCGCGAGACTCGTCCGACTGAGGGTGCACGAGCCGTGCTTCGCGGGATCACCTCACTTCCAGATAACTCTTCAGTCTCTGGAGGAGTTTTTCCGTTTGGCGGCGCCGCGGTTACAGGAGCTGACTCTCTCGCACTGCCTCGGCCAAATGGAGAACCTTCCAGGTTCCATCGCGTCCATGTCCTCGCTGCGCGTGCTCCGGTTACACTCCAAGTTTCTTCGCACGCTGCCCGACGGGATATGCCAGCTATCCGCGCTCCAGGAGCTCCATCTAAGCTGCCCGTTACTGTGGCAGCTGCCCGAAGCTTTTGGGGAGCTGAGATCGTTGGCGCAGCTCTCATTTTCGGAATGCACGAAATTGCAGATGTTGCCCGACTCGTTCAACGACCTTTCATCGCTCACCTCGCTCCGAATCGACGGCTCCTGGCAAGTGCATCCTTTTTCAACTCGTATGGGCGCGCTGCAGAATCTGCGACGACTGGAGCTGCGAAAATTCGACGGGCGGTTACCACTCATGTATGGAAGATGGACGAAGCTGGAAGTAGTTACCCTGGAGTCGTGTCCCAACATATTCGGTTTCCCAACCTCATGCTCCGGGTCTCTAACAGCTCTCACCATCCGTAGCTGCCCCTCGGTGCGCCCTCGACTTGATCGCATCTTCGCGTCGCAGCTGCGCCACGTCACCATCGACTCTCTGAACACTAGCGTGTCGCTCGAGTCGCTAAGCCATCTGTCGTCGCTCGAGCGGCTCGACGTGGCGTTCGCAGGCGGAGACGAGTCGTTTCCTGTGGGATTGTTCGCTTTGCCGTCGCTGACTTTCGTCAAGCTGGGTAACGTCAGGTGGATGGAAGGAGGCGACTTGGACTGGGATTGGTTCCTCGAGGGAGAAGGCGATTTCCACTCTGCCGCAGAGAAAGCTGCCGCCGCCATCGCTGCTCGCGGCGCGACATACCCGCCCCTCGGCCGTTCCCTGCGTCATCTCGACATTAGATTACGCCAGTGGCAACGCACGTGCCTTTTTCCAACCTCTGAGAGAAGGTTCATGTCCGCGTGGCTATGCTCCCTCGAATGGCTCACCCACCTCACAGTCTCAAACCTCGATGACTGCACCCTCCTGCCTGCAGCCCTCGGCCATTTGCGTAGTCTGCGCTCGCTCTCGCTCTCCGGTCGCTTCCAGTACTTCCCTCCCTCCGTCGCGCTCCTCGCGTCGACCCTAGAATCGCTGACGCTGCACTTTTCCCGCGAATCTTGCCGCGAGCGCCACGATCAAGCTTGCCCTACGCTCCAGGCCACGGTCGCGCAGCTCACGTCGCTAACGTACCTTGACCTAACCAACATAGGTCTTCGTTCTGACAAGCCTGGCCTTGCGAGACTTGCTTTGCTTCGAACGCTACGCGTGGACTACAAACCTGCCGGCGAGTTTATTGCCCATGTCGACCTCCCGGAAAATATGGGCTGCTTGGGGAAGCTGGAGATTTTAGAGCTCCCGCCTTCTGTCTGCGAGTTACCTTCGCTGGAAAAGCTTCATGTCAAGTGTGAATGCTTGGAGCAGCTGCCTGCAAATATCTTCAAGCTGACCCGTTTAGAGGAGCTGACGATTGAGTGCTGCTATCACATGAAGACACTGCCAGCGTGTTTCGGCTTCCTTGAAGCGCTAAAGAAGCTGTCTATAGAGGGGACAAAGAGCCCGTCGTTTCTGGACCCGCTCTGCGGCTTGCCCTCACTTGAAGAAGCAACCCTGATTTGCGGATCGAATATCTCCTCTTTGCCGCCCGCCTTCTGCCAGTTCTCCCGCCTCCACTCGCTTACAATAATCAGCTACGACGCCCTCACCTCCCTGCCCGCGAATTTCGGCACATTGGTTTCGCTCAAGAAGCTTTCTATTGTGAAGTGTCAAGTTTTTCACCATCTGCCCGACTCCTTCTCTGCTCTCGCGTCCCTCGTCCACCTCACCATCACAGACTGCCCGACATTTTCCTCTCTCCCACACGGCTTCGGTTCCCTACCCCGATTGACCCAACTGGAAATTTCTCGGTGCGATTTTTTGACGCATCTGCCCTTCTCGTTCCCGTCTCTCCCGTCTCTCCGGGTCGCCTGCTTCAGCCACTGCAAGCAACTGCACTCCCTCCCTGCCCACATGGGTCAGATGCTTCGTTTAGAAGTGCTCCAGTTACGGGGGTGTGTGGCCCTAAAAGCTCTACCGAACTCACTGAAAGTAGCCCGAGCATTGAGGAGTGTGGACGTGGTCGGGAGTGGGTTGGACCAGGAAGGGGGAGAGGTAAATGTATGTCGATCAAGAGTGTTCGTGGTTAGGAGGAAGTTAAACCAAATAGGCAAATAGGCAAGAAAGTGTGTGGGGCGGAGGAGGTGGGATGCAGCAGAGAAGGCAAGGAGGCAAGAAGGTGTGAGGGGATAAAGGCGGAGGAGGGGGGACAGCAGAGAATGCAAGGAGGCAAGAACGTGTGTGAGGATTAAGGTGGACGAGTGGGGGTGCAGCAGAGAATGCAAGGAGGCAAGGTGTAAGGGGATTAAGGAGGAGTGGGAGTGCAGCAGAGAATGCAAGGAGGCAAGGTGGTGTGAGGGGATTAGGGTGGAAGAGGGGGGATGCAGCAGAGAAGGCAAGGAGGCAAAAAGGTGTGAGGGGGGATATTAAGGAGGAGGTGGTGGGATGCAGCAAAGAAGGCAAGGAGGCAAGAAGGCGTGTGGGGATAAAAGCGGAGAGGGGGGGACGCAGCAGAGAAGGCAAGGAGGCGAAAAGGTGTCTGGGGAATGGTCAAATGAAGTGGGAGCCTCAATGATGAGACATTCAGCCGTTTGACTTCCCCTTATGTAATCTTGTCAAATCTGGTACACGTCAAAGCACTTGTGCTTTAAATTCCACCATCAATGACCCTGTAGGATGCCGATCACTCTCAATCAAGTTCAATTTACCATATTATTTGAGGTAGATTGCATTTTACACATAAGAAGCTAAAACCGGGGGGAACGGAGGGCTAGAGGCAGCGCTGTGAGATCCCTATGCAACAGGGAAACGGTACCTGGCCAAGGGCGGCAGCAACCAGTAAAAACAACCTAGACTATTTAAGGGCCTCAGCACGACTTCTGGGCAGGGCTTACTTTATCAGAAATATTCTGTCTGAATTTCTGGATTTTGAACACATTTTTATTAGTTCATATGATGTCGTAGACATGCTGTTTAATTTCGTCTGATTTTAAGAGAAGCTTTTCCTATTCGTCTGATTTTGCAGACAGCCTTATAGAGTTCGTCTGAGACTGCAGAGATCGAGTACATTCTTAATCGAAGGCAAAATATATGCGGTCCAGTAGGACGACCGCGTCAAGGTTCGAACCTGAAAGCTCAGTCTTCGCAAGTCCAGAATGTACCGGACTTCATTTACAAAATTTATATGTATATGGTAGTAGATAGAATATCTATGGAAGGTTCTAGAGAAATGTGGAACCAAAACTAAGTGGACAGAAAGTCGTGTGGAGAAAGATAAGATGGGAGAGACTTGGTGTAGTGCGGGGGTTGGTGTGATGACAGGGTGAAGAGGACTTGTGAAGACGACGAGACGTCTAGGATGTACGGGTGGGCAGAAACTTGACAAACGTGACCAACAGACACGATACATGACCATCAGACATATGACATGACTAACAAGCATGACTAACAGACACGACTGACATGACAAACCACTCCTAATCTATGCTAAGACACCAATGTTGCCCTTAACCCCTTAGAGGCGGGGGTTATATACAAGTAGACAAGGTCTGGAGAGTCAACATTAGAAACCGAAAGCTCTGAAAATGAAGGGTCTTCACTGGAAATGGTCTCGGAAGCAGGGAATGCAGCCTCTACTCTGTGCCGGATCGACCTAGCCTGCGCGCGTTGTAGAGCCATGGAGATGCGGAGAGCGTATGATGATTCAAATGCGCTGGCCAGGACGTTGTCTGCTGCTCCGTAGTCTATATGACGCGCTGCTGCACGACGACTGCAGTCACGTAAGAAAGTCTTGAAATCGCTTCCTAAGCATCCAAATGTTTCCACAGCTAGAGGAATGAGTTTGACAGCTGGGCGGTCCTGTAAGGCTCTGGAATAATGGCGTCTTTTTTCAGATTCGCGCTGTTTCGCTGCTAATCCTACCGTGTGGGTAACCATTGCTGGGGCTGTGGGTTTCTGAGGGTCAGCGACGGAGATATCAAGGGCCCATTTGATTCCGGCATAGGGATCGAGGCAGGTGATGTCAACTATAGTATCCGGTAGGAGTGTGGCATCCTCTACCCGAACTGTGAACCTAAGCTCCCTTGCTATTCTTGCTACCTCGTGTTTTACTGCGTCATGTACGTGAGTGGGCTCTTGGAGGTCTGGCCAACGAAGAGCATGAGAAGGGAGTGTAGGATCAGTGTAAGTCTGGCCGCAAGAGCAAGGAGGGGCTGTTTCGAGGATACGAAGGTGAGGGATTGGAAGGCCTAGGCGCAACTCTGTTGCAATAAGCCAGTCTGCAGGTTCTAGTTGAGAGCGGGGAGTAGATGGGACAGCCGTGAGCCAAGCGCCACCAGAAGGGTCCTGAAGGGAGGTTAAACGGACCAACTGGTGGTGTTGGGTAGCGGCTGTCCGCAGCTGTTCTGCTTCGTGTGCGGAGATGCGCTGGGCTAAGGCTGAAAAAAGACGGTTTGGATAGCCTGCTAGGAAGGCGGACCAGGGGGGTACAAGGTGGCGCAGGTCAGCGGGGAGGGCAGCTAGAGCGCGAGCAGCCTGTGGGTCTAGGCGGTCAACTGTGTCGGTGGTTATGAAGGGACGGAGGAAACAGTCGTTCTGGATAGAGCAGTTGTTGGCTAACAATGGGATGGCCTGTGCCCAGCTGCAAAAGTAACTGAGTGATGCGTGCTTTCGCGCGCTCTGAATGCCAAGTCCTCCCAATCTGATCGGGAGGAACGCCTGTGACCTTGCTGACTGTCCTTCGGCGGTATCTAGATCCCAGACGTCCGGCGGAAAGAGAGAAGTCAGTGTTGTCAGAATGAACGGACAGGAATGATTGAACTAACAGTGAAATCAGTACAAGTACCTAACCCTAGAATTGTGTACCCCCTATAGGCTAACCCACTGTAGCCTAAACAAACACAACATATATAATGTTTGACACACCCCCATAGGCAAAGTGGGGGAGAGCAAGGGGTCACAAGACCAGTCAAAGCAAAGCAAAACAAGCTCAGGGTGGATCTCAAGGATACCACACAAATTCCGAGCACAACCTAGCAAGTGTAAACATGCAGGCATATATATAAAGATCACAGTACAAGCAGAGTCAAGAAGTAAGTAAGTGAGGTCCAGCAGGCACAAGGCCTAGAAGAGTACAGAAACGCTGATGGTCACAAGGCTGAAGTGCCTTGGTGAACACATCAGCAAGGTTGGCCTCAGTGGCCACGTAACGCAGACGAAGCTGACCACGCTGCTGCAGCTCTCGAGCAAGGAAGTACCGCAGGGCGATGTGCTTCGTTCTGTGCTCCAGTCTGTGCTCCTCACACAAGGCAATGGCAGCCTGGTTGTCGACGTACAGCACTGGAGGAGAACGAGGCCGCTCTCCCAAGTCGGTCAGCAGGTAGGTCAGCCAGCGTAGCTCCTGGGCAGCCATGGCTGTGGCGTAGATCTCAGCCTCACAACTGGAGCTGAGAACAGAAGAAGAGCGTGTAGAACGCCAAGAAACTGAGCCGGAGCCAAGGCTGAAGGTGTAACCCTGAGACGACCGCTGAGTAGCCTGGTCGTCTGCCCAAGAAGCGTCTGAGTGTCCAGTAAGTACAACTCGGTCTCGCCCTCCAAGCACTAGCCCCATGCCCGACGTACTGCACAAGTAGCGCAACACCCTCTTAGCGGCATCCATGTGCTCCTTCCTGTGACGGCCAGGAGCGACATAGCACGCAAGGATGCTGAGAGGGTATGCAAGGTCAGGTCGAGTGCAGGTCATCAGGTACATGAGGCAGCCCACAAGCTCTGGATACGGGCCACTCGGCTCTACGGACTCATCCGAAGGCAGAGCTGAGAGCGAGTGACCGGTAGGCAGAGGAGTGGACTGAGGCGAGGAGTACGTGAAGCGGAAGCGCTGAAGGATCTGCTGCACCATGTGTGACTGAGTCAAGGTGATGGTGCGCCGTGCTCTGTCCCGGGTGATCCACAAGCCAAGATAGCTTGTCAGTTCACCCAGGTCTGTGCACGTGTGTCTCCTCTGCAGCTCCGACTTCACGTGGGCGAGTGCCGTGGTGTCAGCAGTGGCAAAGACCAAGTCGTCGACGTACATGAGGATGTAGAACGGCGGCAGTGAGGTGTCTGTGCGTAGAAACAGTGACGGGTCAGCAGTAGAGGGAGCGAACCCAAGAGCCGCAAGTGTCGTCCTCAGTGTGTCGTGCCACTCACGCGGTGCTTGGCGGAGACCGTAGACCGGCCGCTGAAGCCTCCACTGGGTACCAGGAGGAACCGACCCAGTGAAGCCAGGAGGGCGGCGCAGCCAGATCTCCTCGTGCAGGCTGCCCTGCAAGAAAGCAGTGCTGAAGTCAAGTGAGTGAAGCTCGTAGTCGCGCTGAGCGGCTATGTGCAGCAGCACCCGAAGAGTGGTCATCTTCGGGGTGGGGGAGAAGGTCTGAAAGAAGTCAACTCCCTCTCGCTGACTGAAGCCTCGAGCCACGTAGCGCGCCTTGAAGACAGGAGGAGAACCCGGCGGCCGCTTCACCCTGAAAATCCACATGCCACTGACGATGTTCGCCCCAGGTGGGGGAACCTCGTCGACGTAGGTGCCTGTGGACTTCCAGGAAGCCATCTCTGCGTCCATGGCTGTCTGCCACTGAGAGGAGTAGGGACCCGCCATCGCCTCAGCGTAAGTGCGCGGGGTCGGGATGTCTGGTGCATCCGGGTCTCCCTCAGGGGCAACTAGCATGGACACGAGGTGGGGTAAAGCAGCAGCAAAGCACTGGAACTCCTCCTGTCTGTCCTCAAAGACGTCCGTGCCAAGAGCACACTCACCCCCGACGGACGGAGGACAGACAGACTCAGACTCAGACTCAGCAACAAGGCTAGTGGCGTAGTCTAGACGACACCGGGCAGCAAAGTCGATCAACTCAGCGACCAGAGCAGACGCAGCAGAGGACTCAAAGGTAGGGTCAGTGACAACAGTAGCGAGGAGACGGGTGACAGTGGGACTGGCAGCACGACGGGAGTCAGACTCCGGATCAGGAAGAGTAGGCAGAGAGGACGCAGGAGGAGACGGCAGCGGGACACGCTGAGGAGCAGTGGAGGGACGCAGAGTCATGTAGTGAGTGCAAGGGACAGGAGGAGGACGCTCACGTGGGACA